GCTACAAATGCTACGAACACTGACAGACAAAGAAAAGGAGAGATGGAAGGAACATTTACCACAGATGATACACGCGTCTAACTGCACTCGCCATGAGTCTACTAGATACTCACCTCATTACCTGCTGTATGGGCAACATCCTCCTCTCCCTGTGGATCTCTTGTTTGGATTATTGGGAAACCACACCAGTGACACACGGGGTATGTAGAAAAATGGTCAAAAAGGATGACAGAAGCATACAAGATCGCAAACAAAGTCCTACTATGATCAAAAAGCAATGGGTGTGGTCCTCAAGCCAGGAGATCAAGTACTGGTTCGGAACATGGGTGAGTGAGGTGGACCTAGTAAACCACACTCTTACTGGGAGAAGAAAATCTGTGGTGAAAGAGCAGATCTTTGACAACCCTGTGTATGTCATTCACCCTGAAGGAGACCCAAATGCAAGAAACCGAAACATACACAGAAATTTGCTACTGTTAGTCAATGACTTGCCGGTCAAGGGCCCAACGCAGTCAGCTGACACCCCTTGGGAAACTGAAGAATCCCCACCAGAGGACAAGCTCTGCTGACAATAATGTGATATCAGACACTGATGATGAGGATGAGTGGACACGAGGTTATTAGTTGAGAACACCTGTAGTCAAGATGAGAAATGATCAAACTGAACATGGCATATCAACAGCCTCGGAAGGAGGGCAAATGTCGATGTCACCGCCATTCTCTCCCACAACAGTGCCTATTCAGAGTCCAAAGGAACCAACCATGACCCACAAAGAACATTCGAATACATTACCAATGAGAGAAACCAAACCTATGGACACATGCTTAGCGGATGGACTAGAAACACCTGAAAGTGTTGATACATACACGGATGAGACAAACCCACCTGAGAGAGAGCACAAACAAAACACTCCTGTAACAGCGGACAAACAAAGTAAGGAAAAAGAAGTGGAGTTGGTGGGTGATGAATCACAAACAAGTGAACAACATGATGTCGATTACCTAACTCTGCCAAAAGAACAAAATGACCATACTGAACCAGTACAGGTGGGAAGACATGGTTCTCCCCCTATAATAACTCAGCCTGCAGAAGATACACACAGAGAGGTCAGGAGGTCAGCCAGAGAGAGCAGACCAAGACCAATGTTCACTTATGAGTCACTGGGTCAGCCTTCACTTCAAACCCATGTCGAGGCCATCTCCTCACAGATTACCGCAGTCCCCCTGCCTTTCATACCACACATGACCAGATAATTTATTTTACCTGTGTCTTAAATGTCACAAAGGTACATGCCTTGCACATACTACATGCCAGTCACCAGACAAGTTTTTTATAAAAAAAAAAACAAACAAAAACAAATGTCGGGAGCCATTTTTGTTTGTCGGGGAGGATGTGATACTGAAAAAATAAGTGTTTTGGTCACTTTTAGTTTATTACAGTTATATCTGATTTTGTGTAAATAAGAAGTTTCTGGGAAGCACAATGACACACTGTGGCGTAAAATGGACACTGGGGGCAGCACTCAAGAGCATCGTCACCGAAACGCATAACGGTCGTTGGGCTTATAATTCAAGTTGATGGAGAACAAGCAACAACTGTCCGGTTTTCTGATTTCTTTATTACATTCCCAGGTTAGTAACTCACGTTTTTATGTGATTACAGTTGGTCTAAACTAATAAGAGTCCCCAGTGATATGTGGTCTGTAGCTACATAAGTGTATAAATGTTCAAGTGTCACGGTACGTGGCTGCAAACACTGTAGGTAATTATCTGTTTTTGTTTGTTTCTTTCGGCTTCCTGAACACTTGTGGGTTACTGTTGAATGTGTGGGGATCAGTTGTATGTAAGATACAGTGTTCAGCATGTTTGAAGTTAGTGCTAATATGCAGATGTTACGGATAAGTACATTCGCAGTCTTGGTTATGGGTTATAACGGCAAGTCCGCCATGTTTATTTAGTTCATGGGTTATAGCGACAAGCGATGGTTCCGTCATGTTAAATATTTCCGTTTGTGTTTATAGTGTGTAAACTTGAATTAACTTAGCTGCAATGTGAATTGATTCTGTTACAATGAATGAAATTATTAAAATATGTATTATTACAGAACGAAATACTCTACTACTAATGAGAGAATAAGGAAGATGTGTGTTTATGGAAGAAGAGGAAAATTGATTGTTGAGAAATTGGTGATGTTAAAAGCGGAAAATGTTTATTAATGTTTATTTGTAGATTAAAAAATGTGTTTAAAAATGTATGTGAATGTTTTACAAATTTGTTTAATAGGGAAATAGCAGAGATAATTCATATGTTGGAGTGAGAAAGTTAAAGTTGATACAAAAATAAGTTTATGGAGAACAAGCAACAACTGTCCAGTTTTCTGGTTTCTTTATTAAATTTCCAGGTTATCATCAAAATATATCTGTCAGTGTAGACCTTGCCGGGATGCGCTACATTAGCTCAAATTAATTAAGTTCACCCAAGCAAGGCCGAGACTTACTCCAAACCTACACCACCACCACCATCATCAGTAACAACAACAGACCCATTGAATAATTCTTTTGTTAAATTAACAAAGTGCAACAGAGGTAAAAAAAAAAAATCTTTGTCAGCAAATCTAACAGAAGCAGGAGTTTTGGACCTGAGCACAGCTACAATCTGATTCTGCTCAGTCTTAATTTGCGGCTGAACGTGTCTGGCATCACTGCTTTGACTTGGCACATCCTTGGGTTAAAAGTGGACTTGGAGCAGCAAATATTCTGGAGTCAGACTTTGAAAAAATGTCAGCCACAATAGACAAAGAGCTGGACTGTTGCTACGTAGCCTTTGGGGAGTTTGCAGGGAGTTTGATGGAAAAGCTCATAACAGCAGCAGTAGCAGCAGTAGTAGTAGCAGCAGTAGCAAAGCCAATCTTTGTACGCAAGATCACACATGCGACGTGCTGAAGAAGACTTTAGAAACACAAAGCCAGAGGTGAACAACTAAATAAAGATTAGGTGACCTCACATCCAACTCTGTAGCAGCATGGAGCTTCAGCATGAAACATCTGCAGCAGTGTTCATTAGAAACACTGCTGCAGGTACAAAGGAAAAAGGATTTGACTTTTTTTCCCAATGTTTGATGTCACCACCAGGATGTTTACTTATTCCTCTCCAATGCGTTTTATTACATTTTGGATAATTCTGCGAAGTATTTCATCAGGTCAGCTGACAGTCTTGCCTGTGACCAGGGCGAGATAGTCTTAGCTGGGCCTCCCTGCACCCAGATTTCTCCTTTTACATCATATAATGAAGGCCCAGTTCTGGCCTCCCCTCTACAGTACACTGGGTCCAGGGACGCCAGATCAGTTTGTAATCTCTAATCTCTGGCCCTGTTTACCATCCTATGTCTTTTTTGAAATGTTTTCTTATTTCTGGGATATAAAGTATATACACACTATATCTCTAGGTTAAAGCCATTCTTTTCAGTAAGTTATTGTTTTGGCTTCTTGTTACCAATCAATGTTGTTTACAGAGGTTATATAGCTTCATATGATTTGTACCTACACTGGTGGGCTCCTGTTAAACAGAGTGTTGTTCTTTGCGACCTCTGTGGCCTGAGACTCGGCCCTCTTCTCCTCAAACTCCTCCCTGCTCAAGACGCTGCCTTTGTGTCCATGTTCTACGAGTTTCCGGGACAAATCTCTGCTCTGTAGGGATGACCCAAACACAAAACAAACAGTGAGACAGAGCTCCAGTTCCAAAGACCAACTCTTAAACATCACTGTCTGTAGAGCAGGGGTCACCGACCTCTGAAGTAGCTCTCTAAAATTGAGAGCTACTTCAAGGAACGGAAAGGAAAGTGAACTCCTTGTCATTGTGACACATCACATTACTGCACACAATGAAATTTGACCTCTGCTTTTAACCCATCACCAAAGTGAACAGTGGGCAGCTTTAAGGGGAGCAGTGAGTGGGGACGGTGCCATGCTCAGAGCACCTCAGTAGTAACTTGGCAGTTGGTGGATTTCTTCACTTCCTTAACCACTAAGCCACCACTGCCCCAAGGTCAAGGTTCAAGGTCACTTAGTAATACGAAGAGCGACATGTTTAATACAGACTTCACAAACAATGTAATAATAATCAGTTCTGGGACATACAGTAGTCGACACTCTTCTTACCATCGTCACTGGATTTAAATATTGCTGGTGTAACTGATGCAGAAAGCACAGTAGCAGTACAATTTTGACCCTTTTGTTGAGTGGTTTTATTTTTACAAAATACCCCCAGAGGCACCTTAGGTAGACCAAAGGAGCTACCAGGTCCCAGGCACCATGTTGGTGACCCCTGCTGTAGAGAAACTCGGTGATTTCAGCTCAGAGGGACACAGAAGATGCAAATTTACTACTGCCTGTGTCACTGAGTTTATATGTGTTATTTTGTGACTTCACTGTTCAAAATATTATATTATGTTATATTTGTAGAGATTTACCTCAATCACATAAACTGACCACAGGGGGCATCAGTAGACCAACTGCTCTGGAGTGCCTGTTAGTTAAAATACCAGATTTCTTTCTAAGGATGGCTAAAATGTGGACTTTTACATGTTGTTGTTCTCAAAAGCAGTTAAATTGTAATTGCACTTTGTTGTTTTTATCATAATGTCATAATGTTAGGTGTAAGTGGTATTACCATAGTATCTAATCACTGGTTTAAAGTATGCCACAGTGACAATGTAAACAGATTTATGATGTGTCTGTTACTTCCCGTTACTGACTCTAACTAACTGATCTGTGTTCTGACAAATAAAACTGAAGCAAAAACCCGCAGGAGAGACTTTATCTTAATCAGTGCCCACAAATAACATTTCAACCATAAACTCTTCAGCTATAAACAGATTTTTTTTTTGTCACTTGCTGTGGTTTTCAGATCAAAGTATGAACCACATGTCTCGTGTCCATACCCGAAGAGGGAAACTGAGATTACCCTGCTGCTGTGATGTGGCCCAACTTGAAATAAAGCATGGACTTTTGAAAAATCATCACCATCAGGGCTGTCATCACAATTTCTTAGGCATCATTTACCTTTTTTTTAAACAAATTGAAGACTATAAAACATGGTACACAGGGTGAGTTCAAAAACTCGTGTTAATAGTCCTAATAGAATAGCTAATTGTTATGGTAAAATTATAGCAAAAATATATTAATTTATATATTAAACCAAATGTGGTCACAAATGTCAACAATGTATAATGTAATTTAAACCAGAACCTTTTAATGTTAGTTAGTTAATGTTGATTACAAATACAAATACTATAAGCCAGTGTGTGTGTGTTTGTGTGTGTGTGTGTGTACAAAACTGCAGGTGTTCAAACAAAGTGACCAGCAGCAGTCTTGATTAACCAGCATGACCTCTGCTGCTGTTTGTAAATGTAAATTTTTAATCTACATTTACCAACAAAAATCTCAACATGATTGATTTTCAACTATCCATCTATCCTCAAATCTGTAATCCACACAAACGTATGGGCAGACATGTGACTGCAAAATAAACATTAATTAAATAACTCACATTTTAATGATTTTTAAAAAATGTATTTAAAAAAAATCGGTTGTAATAATTCCTGCATAACCTCTCGATAAAAACTGTCCTCTATTGAAAAAATGGCTGTTGCTGCCACCTAGCGGCATAGGAAAGCACTACACAACAAAACGGCATACTTGTTCATGGCAGCAAAATTAATACATTTCCATATAAACGTGAAAATAAACTACGACTCAATGTAGACTTTTTAGAGGACCAAATCATTCGACTCCCTTCAAAAGTCCCAAGGTTAGCGCATCACCCAGAGCGCTAACACGTCGAGTTAATACATTTAATAACTGATGGTAAAACAAAATGTCAAACTGGACTTGTAAATAATATAATCATTATGTAAGATGATAGAAACCGTTCACACGCAAGCGTGAGTTATCTCGTGGTGTCTTTGATTATAAACATGGTTTTAACAGAATAAAAGTTCTCTTTTGTGGCCAATAAAATCAGTTAGGATAATTTGCTGCAAGCCGAAAGTGTCGAATTGAACTGAGCTTATTACAAATCTGAAGAATCCACCTATATACAGTAGTTCCAGTCTGTTAGTAATGTAAGAGTACGTTTAATGAAGCTTCCGAGATGAGGTTAACATTGTCGAAGTGTACATCACGTGACCCACCTTGAGATAAAATACATCCAGTGCCGTCACTCTGGAGTCCAAATAATCCTCGTAATCTTTAAAATTGGTGTCGGAAAAACGTGTGGCGACGCTATTCTCCATCGTCAACTTTGTTTTTAAGGTGGTTGCCTCGGCAACTATCAGACTGACGTTTGTGAGCCTGGCGACCGGAAGTGAGGACACAGTCCATTTAAAAACTCAGTCTAAAGTTGAATATAACTTGTAGTCTTTGATTCTATAATCTTGTTTTTTCACACAATCTTTCGATTTATTGATACATTTCCAAACCCTCAAGGATAAGGATAATATGTCTTTTTTAATTAAAGCTTCTTAGCAGAATCATCAAAACAAAATAATAATAATTTCCATCCATCCATTCATTTTCATCCGCTTGTCCGTTACCGGTCGCGGGGGCAGTCTCCAAGACCACCACCCAAATCACACTGCACTGTACCAACCCACCCTAAACCTTCCTGCAGGTGGAGAGTCCACTGGAAGGTACCAACCGCCCTAACCGGGATTCGAACTTGCCCAGGAGGTGAACCCTGGAGTTCCACACCAATGACAGAGACATAGCAATAATAATAATTTTCAAAATGAAACTTTAAAAAAAAAAGAAAAGAAAAAAAAAGCTTGCTTTATTTAGGTAAATGAAAAAAAATGAAAACATGTTTTAATAAAATAAATTAATAAGAACACAGTAACTGAGAAAGGGCTCTTTTTAAATATACATATATAATAAATAAAATAATATCCATCATAAAATATACCTGTTTAAATAGATAGGTACATACAGTATGTACATGAAATGGAACAAAGTGTGTGCTTTTTTACCCACTTAGATATTTCAGATTTTGGTATTGTGCAAAAACAAAACAAAAGAAAAACTGCATAGATCACAACAAGTGAAGCACTCTCTAACTCTCTCAGTGTTATCCAAACCGGTATTTCGGCCAGTACTTAACTTGTATCTGTCTCTGTGTCATGCCTGCATGAACGTTTGCCTTCACAACTGCAGGTTTGGATGTCTGTGTCATCAGCTTCCTCCTGTCTTTGCTTCTGTTTGTGAAGGTAAAACCAACATGCTGGGACCTCACTTCATGAACATGCACCCTAGGGAGGAAGTGGGTGGAAATGTGCTGGGCTTTGACCCTTGGGCTGGAGCCCATCTTAGCTTTGCCTCTCTTGTTCAGGGCGACAAACCAGTCCCGTCCGTTGTGTTGGCTCCGGTGAATGACTGAGGCGTAGGTGTTGAAGCTGTTCTCCTGAAAACGTTCTCTGAATTTACATTCATCTGTGAAAACTTCCTGCAGATAGAGGAAGACAAAGACTGTCAAAAAACTAATCAAGGAAAAGCTAATAATCAGCAAATAGTTGAACAAAATTACTTCAAAATGGCAGGAAAGCTAAACTGTAATAGCTATATCAAGCAGAGATCGTTATGGCAATGTTAGGCAAAGATAATGGAAAAAAACATTTTAATTCAATTTAGCTCCAAAATCAATATAATTTAGCTGGGAAATAGCTAAAATCTACAACCCCCACCCCCAAAAAACCAATAAGATAACTAAAATAATCAAAACTCTAAATTATGTTTTTACAGTAACAGAAAGTATCAGACTGAAGTCACACATTATCATTATGACTCTGTAGTAACTACACAATCAGTCCTGAATTCCTGTTAGCATTCTAAAAATATGTGCTTCAAATAAACAGAAGTGTAGCTGAAAATGATTGGGGTCTGATGAAGAGTAAACATGTCAGTCATCGGGAAGCTGTGCTGCAGGGACCATGACAACACTGACAGCAGTCACACACTGAAGAATTGAATTAACCATTTGAAATATTTCTTGTATTTGTTTTTTAAATATGATTACAAAAATGCACACACAGAGACACGCACAAACTAGCACTATAATTGTGCAGCTGTTAACCCACTCTGCTTCTCTGATCACACTTGTTTACACATACATTTCCCATGATTTTCGCCTGTAAATCTGGAGAACGCTTGTTATGGTGTTCTGAGGGAAGAGACAAGTGGCAGGAAAGTATGTGAGGGGGTTCCAGAAGTATGAGATCAGTAGGACAGTGGGTGGATGTGCAGGGACAAATTAGTCAAAGTTATGAGCCTGTCTTCAACCTTCATAAATATTACTGAATTTATTAACTGTACTCTTTAAACCAAGATCTGCCTGTTGTGTTAAAAATGTAATAGGTGTTTCTGTGTTGTGTACAGGCAGACTAGTTATTTGAATGCAGTCAATGAAACCTCATTTTAACTCAGGTTTTTGGAAGACATACTTCACAAGTTTTCATTATACTGAACTCTGAAACTTCTGGGTACTGTATGTACAGAACCTTGTCACTGCTACTGCTCTGCGACCCTCTTACTGTCTGTCTCTACCTCAGCTGAGAGAATCTTTTCTCCACATATTTATTTATCTATTCAATCTGACAATCATCTGTGGAAGATACAGCCTTAATTGGTTTGCAGGTTTCTGTTTCCTGTTATAATCTGATTACATGAACTTGACCTTGCAGCACTGTTGGGGATGTGTGTGATGAACTCACAGTAGCATGTAGTCGTCCTCTTTTATTCATGGCCAAAAATCTGTTACTGTAGACACCTCTGATCCCAATGATGCCCTGAGACACAGCGATGAGCTCTAGGATACCTGTGAGGAACAAACAAGATCTAGTTGTTTGGTAAAGGGTTTGAGATATATAACATTTTAGTAGTTAGTGGTGACTACGTCAGAGCACCTGGCAATACAGCTACATGTCTTCCCAGAACAAAGCTGCCAAACTCCCAAATTGCTAGAGTATTAAGTTGGGAGTAGAGCCAACAAACCTATGGTGATGGGACTGACCTACTGTACCTACACAAGTTAACTTCAGCCACAATACTGACTCTCTCATGAGTTATGAGAATGAGGTGAATTTATTTCTTATTATGATTAAAAATTCACAGGTGGTCATTTTCAGTGTCTAAGATCACTTAACAAAGTCTATTTTAAACAACCTTTAGCTAGGTTAGAAAAACACAGCCATACACATCTTGACCTAAGTCTAACCCGACTCAACTTTTAACGAACCAACCATGAGTTAATTAAACTTAGACCCACTTTATTCCTCATTATTAGACCAAAGTGCATATTTGGTATTCTTTCTTTATCTTACGCACTCAGCCTGTTGGCCTCGTGACTTCCGTTCACTTTCCCATCAGGATAAATCTGCAGATGGAAACCGATCCCGACTCTGCAGTAAAGTCTGCAGGTTCTGCGTCCAACTCCTGCGCCTTTTTCTCTCAGTAAGACTCCTGTGGCTTCTTCTCCTTCTGCTCCTACACCCCCAGTTGTTGCATAGATGATCCACGGAGTTAAACTGATGAGAAGATAAAACGAAACATTCATTTCTCCCACTGCAGAAGCTCTTATCGTCACATATCTTCTCCTTCTCCTCTCTCCTTCTCCAGCATGTTGACAGTTGCACCTCCTGAGCAGCAGCACCGTCGCTCAACTGGGGTCTATGGACCGGATCCCCCTGCAGCGGGTATTTATAACACGGATGATCTCATTGGTCTGTTTGAGAGCGTGTGCGCCTCTGGGCAAACGCTTAAATGCACTTTCTGCCATAGAAGTGCTGCTCCTCAAAAACACCGTCTCCAGGACTCACCAAGTGACATTTTCTGTGTTTTCCATTCAAAGAAGTGTCAGGTAATTGGAAGAAGTGAACTTTACATGTACGGCTGCAGAGAAGCGCAGGTGCAGCAGCAGCAGCAGTGTAACAATAGACTTCAGTCAAGCTCCTCAAGTCCTCATCTAATGTCTTCACATGTGACAACAGAGGAGAAGAATCTGGGGACCTGATGTTTACAGGAGAGGAACAAAATTAGCCTACATGTTGTGCAATATTAATATGCATATATGTACATATGCATCTATGTATTTTTATTGCAATCAGCACCTAATTTTCTATTTCTATTTTTCTATCTTATCTGATTCGATGTATAACTTTGCTCTCTGTTTACCTTTTATTTACCTAAGATGTGCCTACTTTTGGTATATGTCCAGGCTAACCTGAAACTATTCCTATGCTAACTTTTAGTTGCTTTTTGATTCACAGTCACATTGTTTAGCATAATCTCTTTGTCTATTTTCTCACACCCTTAAGAGTAAAGTTAGAGCTCATTGTTTTGAGGATTTGTCAGTGTTTGGTTTAGATTATCCTGCACCCACGGCCCTCCGCTGGATTAGAGCAGTAGCCAAAGAGAACGTGGCAAGGCCGCACCCATTTGGCCTTCTTAGTAAACAGGGCAGGACAGTGTTTTAGTCCAACATTTGTTACACTCACACTAATTAGTTAATTCAATGGCGTGGCATTAACACCAAGGATCTGATGGATCGGACAGATGTCAGTAATTGTCGACTAAGGCCTCCTTCATCACCAAGATCCTAAAGGGGAGAAAAAGTCAGTTGACAAAGTCGTACAAAGTTCGGACTGTTGTTTCATGACCTTGAGATAGCACCAATTATAGTCTGAAGTATCTTCAACATCTCACTGAAACTAAATGTGGGGAACCAGAAGAAGAATAATCACTTTGGTCCCTTTATCACAAGTTGCCAGCAGTGACTGGCAGAATCATTACATCAGAAGTCCTGAGAGGACCCATTATGGGACTTGGAGACAAAGTGATATAAAACTTTAGGAGTCTTTTGGTGGGAGTAGCTCCCACATACTGTATTTTCCCCACACCAAAGTGGATGATTTCTGAACTAGTTGTACTGGTAGCAGGACTGAATAATTCTTAGAACCTGTCCTTAGCTCTCATCGCTATCGATTGTTCCCATCACTTATTCCTGTGGAAATGCCTTTCATGTGTTTATGGGAGACTTTGATCCTTTAATGTGAAACCTCTAAGCTTTCAAGACCCAAGAAGGTTTGGTTGGTCAGACAAGAACCTGATAGAACAAAATATGCATTTTCCAGAGTGGGAAATATGAATACACATATTGCTGGTACAACTTGCTGGTTCTCCAAAGAAATGAGTGACAGATGATTTTTCTTTTTCTCTTTTTTTCTGTTGAGGACCACCATCGACCATCGAAATGTGGCCCCCTGAGACGTCCTTAGCTTTAGAAGAATCTCTGCAAAACCAGCGAGTAGTATGCAAGTCTCTGCTGATGCTGCTGCTGTGTGAATACATAAACCGAGTTGTCTGCGAGGCAAGGGTCAACAAGGACTTGTATGACAAAATGAAGACCCTGAAGATGGAGAAACTCACTCTCATCCAGAGACTGTCTGAGATGGAGAAGTTGAAGGTGCAATCTGACCTAAAAGTGAAAGACCTGGAGCCTGTTATTCAGGCCCAGAGCATGAAGACCAAGAAAGCAGAGGCCAATCTGGCAAGACAGTTGGAGGAGACTTTCAAACTGTCCAAGGTTCTGGAGGAGTCCTGTCAGGAGTGGGAGCAGGAGGATTCCTGTCATGTGTTGCAGCAGGCTCAGACCATTCTGCAGCTGATGGAGACGGTCAACTCTCTAAGGAAAAGGGTCACAGAGTTGGAGAAGGAAGTGTCGTCTTTGTGCAGACGACTCCACAACCGGAAGGAGAAAATCAGACTTCAGTTGAAGGAGTTTGGGAGAAAAGTGAAAATGGTTTCATTGTGGAGACAATTTCGACGTGTTCTCAAAAGAAACGGCGATACAGAGAGAAATTTAATTCCGGCTGTCCTCCAGTTTCCACTGTAAACCTAAACTGAGTGACCTAAGATGGAACTGACCAGCTGACTACTGACACTTTAAGCAGGAGAAGTTAGTAAGAATAAGGAAAGGAAGGAAAGAGAACTCCTTGTCATTGTGACACAGCACCAAATGTGACCTCTGGTTTTAACCCCTCACCAAAGTGAACAGTGGGCAGCTTCAAGAACACCCCAGTGGTAATAAGACACCGGAAAGAAAACACCAACACAAAATATAAGAAAGCTTGGTGAAGTCAACTGTGTTTACAGGCATTCTCTCTCTTGCTGACTCAGTACGGGCTAAATCCTGTGAACTAATGTCACATAGTTGTCTGCCACTCACTTTTCTAACAATTTCTGCATATTTTCCCCCAAGTCTTACCAATGAAAAACAGTGTTGGGGTTTTTGGTATTACTCTAACATATTATTATTTATTATGTATTATATTTATCTATAATATTTATCTTTTAAAATATTCAGAAAAACAAAAGTAATTCACTTTAATATTATTTTATTCTTATTATATTCAGATAAAGGAATCTCAGGGTGTTATATTGTGTTTACACAATAAATAAATAAATTTGGCTGCAATTGAGCTGGTGGTTAGGTAGGTAAGGTCAACCTTATAAGATATGTTTTAGTGAATGTTGTCTTATTCTGAGCATATTATTGAAACTTCCTTTGTGCCTAACTTTAACCCATTTAAAAAGAAACATAAGATTTTTCGTGACGTTTGAACAACATTTAAACAATACCCCGATAAGTAATGATAGTAACAATCCTCCCCTAACAATCATCGACATTAGTGATGGGAAGACCGACTATTTTTATTGATTCGAATCTTTGACTCTCGAACTCCTGAACTAATCATTTCATTCGTTTTACAGCAGGTGGCGCTTTAGCCCTATTAAGAAGCCTGCGGTTCACCGACACTAAATACTGAAGGCAACATGGTTTGCTTCCGCTGACAAAGTCTACAAAGTACACAAAATGCCATAAGCAATTGAAACCATGCGAAAAGCTAAGAAATAAAAACACACCACAATGTGAAGATGAATGAGAGCAAAAAAAGACCCGAGCTCTCTGTCACGTGACAAATGAAACGAATATGCGAGAACGAAGCAAAAGAGTAGTTCACAGAGAATGATTCGTTTGCAATTAATGATTAGTTCACAGTGAAAGATTAGTTTGCAGAGTTATTAGAACGTAGTGAAAGATTAGTTCACAGTGAAAGATTAGTTCACAGTGAAAGATTAGTTCACAGTGAACGATTAGTTTGCAGAGAGTAATTCGTTCGTAGTGAAACATTAGTTCGCAGAGAGTGATTAGTTCGCAGTGAGTGATTTGTGAGTGATTCGTGAGTTCAATATGAACACATATTTTAATATGACTCGGTAGTCACGAGTCATATGAAGGATTCGTTCATTTCAGACGTTAGCTCCTATGTTTGAAGCAGAGAAACAGGTTCTGAAGAATCTGGGACTATTTCTGGACACAGGTATACACTCGTGAGAGACAGACATGGAGACGCTCAGTACAGACATGAAAGGCTCTTCTCTGAGGGACATGATGATGTGTAAATTTCCCGCTGTCAGCAGATCTACAGATAGAGTGCATTGTGGGTCAGAAATAGTGCCACAAATGCACGACGAGGAGGAACTGAATGTTTTAGTATTTTTAGAGCCTCAGTCCAGCGGTGTCCTAATCAGACGACAGCGGGAGGATAACGACTTCAACACAGACACTGATGTTGTAGTGAGCTCGGGTCGGATTCGTGGCCGCAGGACCAATGAAAGCAATATGTTTGATCTGAGATTTTTATATTTATTTATTTTTTTGTCGCATCGCCTGTTTGATCTATTACTGAGGGAGCTAAAACGAAGACAATGGCGAACAATGAAAACTAAAACTAGGATGAATACATTCCTGAAATGCAAATGTGAATAAAAAACTCCAAAATGATATTAGGCTGGTAATAAGTGAAAAATAGGGAAATACTTACAAAAACAACGACACACAGATTCCCTAAAATCTAAAGTTTTCTTTCATTTTAACCCTTGCAGTGTTTAATGTTTACGTGACGTAATGTAATTCTACTGTGGTATGGCTTCTGACCACTAGGAGGCAGTATAGTATCGTTGCATGTGTTCCTAAACATGTGCTAGGTCTAGAATGTCTCTATTTGAACACTCGCTCGGATTTCCCACCTAACCCACCCAAATCATATAATTATCATTATCATTAATAAGAAAATAATGTTAGCGACACATTTTGCGGCTCCTTTTCCTACAGTCTAATAAATAGACTACAAAACAGATCATTCAACACTAATTCTAAAACATGACTTGGTTGTAATGATTACATATATTATTACGCTCACACATGTATATACTAAATATACAAATGGACATAAGATAATAAATACAATTTGGATTAGAAATTAATACCCAATTAAAACGATTATTTGTTTTCTTTTTAAAAAGATTATGATAATTATTTCACACTAAATTATCAGAAAGTAAAATAGTTAATTCAGTAGATATTTGAGATTTGAATGACAGTACATTAGAATAGAACGTATTTTATTACTATTTTATGTCTATAAAATAAAATGTATAAATATCAACTATTGGTGCCTTTTAGGATTCATGTGTATCATCAATAGCTGAATTTCATCAATCAAATCGAATTTAATTTATGTGAGGTAACATTTTGGCTCAGAATAGCCCAAACGTCATTTTTTCAATTTATAAATGTATCTGTGAATTTATGAATTGAAATAATTATAAAAATTATTTATAAAAAATTTATAAAAATACATTTTAAGATTATTTTACCACTGAACATTAGTTTGTTCCCCTCCCTTTTCAATGTTTACATATCAGACAAACAGACAGATAAATAATTTTCAGTGTTTTAATTCACAATATAACTTTTATTTGCTAAACATCAATCGATTTAAGAAAGTGTTGTGACAATACTCTGGTTATTTGGTTCGTATTTGGTTCATTTTGTGTCCATTTTTTCTATTACAGAAATAGACAATGCTTGAAGGCCAGTGTTGAAAATAAATCATTTTTTATTGTCCAAGCATTCGACATGATTCCATAAACTTTCCAGTTGTAAATTTTCCACAGAAAAAGGAAGAAACACTGAAACTATTCCCCACAGACACAAAATATGGAATTTCAAATCAAAGTGGTTCATTTATTTACACTGCCATGAAGACTGTCTTAAAATCAATATCATTTAAATATCATTACATCATGCACTCTGAAATATAGTCTGACATCATCAGTAAATAATAATAATAATAATAACAATTATTATTCATCCCCATTTTTTTTTATTTTATTTTCAAACATTGAAAAAGTCATTGTAAACCAGGATGTTCATGACTACATCTGTATCTTAGTCTTTATAGGATATAAAATTCAACTTCCTGTACATTTACACATATTTAAATCTTATCCCTTATGCTCGACTGGTCTTTTAAGTGCTTTATAAATAGTTTAATTGGAGTCAGAACATGATTGCATACCACCAGAACCACAAGGTTTTTTAAAAACTTTTTACAGCAGAAACAAAACAAGGTAAAACAGAAGGAATAAGAAGTGAAAACAAGAGCAGCGTCTTTTAATAACTTTGTCTGGACCTCATTTCCCATGTTGTCCAGATCATAGACCATGATTTAAAAATTAGACATAGCTATCTGGTTGCAAAAATACACTGGGAGTTGTCCAATGCTTGACATAGAAAGAGAAAACAAATGCTGTGACCATGGGCAGAGCCCTGGTCCAGGTGCCTGTCCAGTCAACTCTGGACCCTGCTAGTGCTGCTTCAGCTTTATCACGTTCCCTTTCTAACAACAGGACTGTTTTACAACCCGAGGGCTATGTCATTTCGCAAATACTGTCTATTGTCATTGTCCTTCCTCTAGTCTACACCACTGAAAGAGTCAATTATGAGAGGTCATGTGACGTGACAGATGATGCCTCTCTCGGAACGTCTCATTGCAAATTGGACACTTTAACTTCTCCTCACGCCGGCGCTTGCAAAGTGGCTCCATAGCGAACTCCTTTTTGTGGTGTGACCTCATGTGGTACACCAAGTCTGAGGTCATGCGGAAAGAAGCATTACACTTGGCGCACCAGTTCTGTGCGGGCAGGCAGAGTGAGGTGAAGGAAGGTGGCAGCAGGGTGAGTGCCGATGGCATTTGAATCTGGATGGCTCCGGAGCTCTTGGGCCAGAAGGTGGTTGCAGCGGCATAGACGAAGGGGTTCTGCTTGGCCATGCCCCCGGGCACTGGGCAGTTGGTGCCCAGTTCTGCACCCTGCAGTTTGGCGGCGAGGTGATCGGCCTGGTAGAGTCTGGTGGAGGAGATGGTGTCGCCCACTGCTGGGTGGCAGTCCAGCAGCTTTGGTGGCATCACCAGTGGTGAGATCTGAGAGAAGGTGGAACGAGAGGGCTGGCTGAAGGCGCTTTTCCTCTCCCCACTGCCTCCACTGCTGCTCTGTTGGCTGACGGAGGTGAACGCACTGCCCATGGGTGAGGTTTGGGCTGGCTGTGTCTCAGACAGGACCTGTCGGGTGCTCAAGTTCTTCTCCGACGGGATACTGTTATGGCGGTTGCCATCTTTGTTTTCAGAGTTGGCATTCTGGAGGTTTTTGCTACCTCCGTGGTGTTTGGAACTCTGCACTGATTTCTTGACCTCAGTGAAGGCGCTGCACTTGCCTTCGCCTTGCTGTGTAGAACCTAGTGGGGAGAAGGACTTGCGGTTATCATCCAGGCCATACGCTCCTCTGTAGTTCTGTGCAGATGTCGCCAGCTCATCCTTAGTTTTGGTCTGATGAAGACCAGGCCGTCTGCACTCTTCCAACTCGGAAAACTTCCTCTTGCCTGAGCTTTCACTGCAAATTTCTGCTTCCTTGTCACTTGGCGGGCTGGTGCGGTTTTTCTCCAGGTCTCTGGCTAAGTTGTGAAAGTCTGTGGAGGGTTTGCTGCTGTCTGGTGGCCCACTGTAGCCCTCAGAGCGGCCTAGTTTTGGTGCACTCCTTGTTGGGGTGGAGTTTAGTTGTTCAGCGATGCTCTCTTTGCTGGCTTGGTCGTCTACACCTGCAATGTTTTGTAGTCTCTTGGTACAACGGAATCTAAGATGGGCCAGGAATGGGAATTCATACTGAAACTTCTGGCTGCAGTCTGGACAGGAATGGTGGGATGCACCTGCAACAGGACACCAAAAATCAACGAAAACCCTATTAAACATCTGGTTTCTCTTACAAATTGAAGAAGAAGTTTAGAATAAATTTGGATTCTGATGCTACAAATCATTTGGTTAGAGGGAGTAGAATGTTTGGCACCTTCTTCAGACGTACCTTTGGTCTTGGCAGGTGCTCTGCTGGCGTTGAGCAGCAGCAGGTCCACCAGCTCTTTGCCGTACCACACCAGCAGCTCCTCATCCTTCTCAATGCGTCGCAGCGAGCGATAGAAGAGTTGTCCATTTTTAATGTACGCTTCTAGGTTCTGTTCCTCTCTGTCACGGGCTGACTGGACCAGCCTCAGCCACATGGGGCCATCAGAGGTACCGTTGGCTGCTGATGGGTCCACCTGAGACAAACAACAAATCCAGACTGTAATTATTTATTTTCTGCCTCATGGAATTCTTGGTCTAGAAATGATTCTTTCTCAGAGAAGAAGGAAAAGAAGATGAATGTCTAAAATTTGAATTAATGTTGCAGCTGTTATGGCATTATTTGAAGTATTGAAAACAGTTTCTACTAAGTCTATAAATGTCGCACAGTCCCTAAACATGAAGTATTTTTTAAATAGTTAGAACTTTGTTCTATAGAAATATAACAACCACCGTCTACATTTTTTATTTTTCACATTTTCAGTTTGAACTCACTCTGAAGATATAAGGAGCGTTGCGTTTGTCGCCGGCCTTGAGCGCGATGAAGGCGATGCTGTCATACAGTGACGTGTGGCTAAGGACACACGGCCCAAAGATGGCGCACTCGGGCACATTGCAGGACGTAAAGACGCTGGTGAAGATATCGGTCAGACACTGCTGCACCGCTTTAGCCTCACTAGCGTCCCACAGTGACTTGTTCTGGGAGCTGCAGGACTCCTCCATCTCACAACCTGTACACATGAAGGAATTGACATGTTCTTCATAGACAGAACCTTAACAGAACCAGGGTTCTCTTTTGATCTTTGGTGCATGGGACCAAAACTGGTCATATTAAACCTTAACCTCCAATTAGACAGCCTTAGGTTTAGATCAGGACTAAGACCTGGATCGGCACGAGAGTTCGATGGGATTCTGTGGTTAGACTTCATAGACCGACATAGACTGACTGTCCGTGCAGCACAAGGTGTTTCCTGTGAGGACCGTCAGGAGCCACAGCTGACGCTGATACTGAGACCTGTGGAGGATCGGCACATAGTCTGAGTCGATCCGATCCTCCAGACACAGATCTAGATCCGTAGAGTTATAACTCGAGGTTTAGAAATTGATGATAAACTACGCATTTACTCCATATTTAGATTTGTTTCTAACTTTAATGCTGCTTGTTTTTTTCAGATTTATGTTCTTATTTGAGACCGAAACTGTTTAGATGATTTTTCTTTCCCCAAGGCTATGGATTTAGTCAGGATTAAAGTATAAATTTGGAATCAGGTTTAAGGTTTTTAGTGTTTGTATCATTCCCGGCTCTAGTTCTGGCTGCGCTGATCAATGTGTGTGTGGGTGTGTGTACGGGTGTGTACTTGTCATTTTTGAATAAGTTTATAGTTAAAATCAAATGTTTATTAATTGGAATCTTATAATATAACGCATGACAGCACTTATTTGAAGTGTGTTTTTACAATATTTTATTCTTTTTAACACTCCACATATTCTTAATATTTAATCGTGGATTATTTTATTTCAATTCTTAAATGTCTTTGCAGTGTAGATTATTCTCTGTTAAAAGGTAAACGGTCCAAATATCGAATACATAACAGCTGAACTACAATAGAAGCAAAGGTGGCTCCAGGTAAACTGGAATGAAAACTAATATAGTAATATGTTAATGGAAGATGTGACGTTAAATATAATAAATACGCAGATTTCTCCTGAAAGAACTGTGCAAATCTGATAATTTAAAGTTAAATCGAAAGTTAAATGAAATATGTCTTTTATCTGTAACCTCGGTCAATAATATCAACACAATAATAATAATAAAATAACAACAACAACAACAATAATAATAATAATAATACATTTAAAAAATAATTATGTGGAAAATGTTCTTTTCCAAATCACTGTAATCGTGTTAATATTAACAGTAGTTACAGGTTAAGTAGTGATGTAGTCAAAATATTAAATGAAATTGAAAGAAAAATTTAAAAATATTTAAATTAAAGATTAAGATTTAGATTAAAAATGTGCCGATGGTGATATTTTAAATTTGATGTATTTATTTAAATTTACTCTTCATATGACTATTTATGGTCTCTCTGTCTGTCTCTCTGTGTGTGTGTGTTTTCGTGTGTGTGTGTGTGTGTGCGCGTACGCGCAGCAGCAGCAGCAGCAGCGTATGTCGCCTCATTACCATAATCCACACTTTTCCCTGTGAGACTGTGATTAAAGCAGCACCAACACTTCATTATTTCATTATTTCATTCTGTCACACACGCACACACGTGGTCGTAAATCAGCGCAGTCAAAAAACCCCAACATAATTTGATCTCAGATCTACCACGTGTAACAAATAGGAAACAATAAATATGTGAACGCGAGAAAACAGATATTTGAGACATTTTAAAATGACCTTAGTTACTGTGACGATTCTATTTTCACCAATGATTAAATTACAATACAGGGAAAATTCACAACATTTTTAAATTTACTTTTTGGACCTAAAAGTCCACTGCTTTGACCCTGGGACACACATTGATCTTTCTTAAAAGAAAACCTTAAGGTGACAAACTTGGTGACAAAATAAATAAAATATAACATCAATTATCTTCTGCGTAAAATTGGAAATCAGTCCGAGTTTCACGCACCATCTGCGTTGAAATCACACGTTGTCTATTTTATACACATATTTCTAATTCTTCCTCTTTTTCTTTTTTCCTTTTTTTATTTTATCCTATAGAAATTCAGTCTCTATTTTGGATTTTCACTCTTCAGCAGTTAGGATATTTGGGTATTTACTTTCAGAAGTTAAGGGCTGATTGTTTGACGAATCTCCAAACATATCTCTCTTCTCTCCTATTTTATGCGAATTTAATATTTATCTTTATTTTCTTTTTATGCAATTTTAGAACAGTTAGAGATAAAAGATGAATTTGGAAAAGTATTGACCTCCGACCTGAACCTTTACAGTTCTTCTAATTGTCTTTTCTGTAGTAAAATCGTGTTAACACACAGTTGTTCTTAACCATTTGAAGACGAAGGAATTAGACAAAAAAACAAAAAAACAAACAAACAAAAAAAAAAAACACATTGTTGATTCACTTGCGAGTCTTTTTTCCATCATCTGTTTTTTCTCTGTAGTTTTTAAAAAATATTTTTTTATGTTGACTTTGTCTTTTTTTTAATTCACTCAACATTGCTGTGTGTTTTTTTTCTTTCTGGTTCTTTGGTTTATTTATTATGTTTTAGATATAGTTTTGCGGCTCGGCTGCGCTCCTGGCGCACGGTCTAGAGACCGAGATGGTTTTGTGAGAAACAAAAAATGAAAATGAAGGTAAACAAACCAACCCATCATCTCCTGGTGCTGATGCTGAGCAGCGTCGACATCAGCAGGAGGAGGATCTGTAACCACCTGAATCTGCCAAGAAGTCACGCATCATCCCGACTATTACATGCGGCTCTGGCTGCACGAAACATCTGCGCCTTTGCTTGATTTGTTTTTTCTTTTTCTTTTTTAAGTCTACCACGAACACTCTATGCCTTCCCCTTTCCACTTAATAAACACGCAGGTGTGGCTGTGCCTCACAGTCGAACCTACCTGTGCCCGATGATTCAGACCCAGGACACAGAGCGCGTCTATGAAGAAGCGGCTCCAATAGTAATCCAAGGGAAACCCGGGTGTCAGCCAAGAACGAAAGACAAAAACCCTGAAAGCCGCGGGAGCAAGAGGAGCAGGAGGAGGTGATGACAGAGTAGGAGGTGCAGGTCCGCTCCTGGTCTGGTGCTCCACACGGTGTCAGAACATTTCTGTTGATCCTGTGCGATATCACACAGATGATGGAAGTGACTGAGAGGATGATGATGATGCTGCTGCAGGTTCTTGTGTGTCTGACCAGAGAGTGAGAGGCACTGGCAGATAAAGGGACGATGGGGAGAGAGAGAGTGAGTGAGAGAGAGAGAGAGAGAGAGAGATGAGGAGGAGGAGGAGGAGGAGGAGAAGGACACGCAGGGAGACGCAGATGGTTTCTTCTTCTGCTGCTGCTGCTTTACTGCTGCTGCTGCTGCTGCTCCTCTAACTGACTGACACACGCTGACACACACACACTCTTTTTGTTCGCCAATGAGGCGCGTCACTGCGCGTCTCCTCCCTTTAACTCCTTCTGAACTATAGATGGAGCTGGAACTGTCAGAGCGGAGCACAGGCGGGATAAAGAGCCGCACACGCACGGACGTCACTGTTGTCGTTCTAATCGACAATAGTCGCTGGTTGCTGGTGTTATAGAGGGACACGGAAGATCCCAAATTTAAATGTATACCTAATGTTGATAAAAACAATACTAATAATAATACTAATACTACTTACAACAACAATAACAACAACAACAACAACAATAACAATAATAATAATAATAATAATAATAATAATAATAATAATAATAATAATAATAATAATAATAATAATAATAATAATAATAATAATAATAATAATAATAATAATAATAATAATAATAATAATAATAATAATAATCGATTAAAAATAAGATCGATTAAAGTGTGTTATGACTGAAGAAACTTCCTGTGTGTTTATATGTGTTTCTTCCATATCTGACGTCCTTACACACGAACATAGTGCGACTCTTATATTTAAAGTATTTGTCGTTCACTTCACAGCCAACTGCTTCCTAAAGCTTCACGCCGGTTCTGGTACCTCTCGGCGCGGCCACTGTATCGCTCCAACACGGCTCCTGGTGCTCTGGAGCTGCGGGTCCTGGTCGCATTCAGCTGCAGTTTTGAAAAGATCCTGTAGGGGACGGTAGTGCATAATGAAGCCTGAATTGGGCGAAGGAACGAGTAATTGGGAGACGACTAGTGGCAGCAGACGTAATCTTGTCTGTATTTATTTTTAATTTCTTTTAAAATAGTTTTTTTAAATGCGGGGTATTACATCCTCTGTCCTCTGTCTCAGTCGAAACTGAACACTTTCATACACACGTCATTTATACAGTACATACATACACAGTACAACATACTTAGTAAAACATGATGATAGACATCATGCACTATGATTCCACTATATTTTGTATAATTTACATATTGTCACTGTATATATTAGAAAATAGTGTCATTTATTCAGCTCTATATACAAATATGCAAATCTGAAAAATATACAGTTAAATAAGTTGTTTTTTTTGCTGCATTTTATAAATATTTTGAATGTGAAGTTTGTTCTGGTGCAAAACCAAAGAACACAATGATTTTTTTTTTCAAACCAAAAACAAACAATACAATTCATTTTTTAAATAATTGATTTGATAATTTAAAGATAATTAAAGCCCAGGCTATAATTAATTCACATTCACATTAAGTTCAGAAGAACAGAATAAAAACTTAACAGGACTTCATTTTTGGTCATGCATCAAAACACCTGAAATAATAACAATATTAAGCTTTAATTAATTTCATTCTGAATGTTTGAACTTGACCACAGCATGTCAGCAGGGAAACGTGTCTGACAGAGAGAAGGAGGCATTAGATTTCTTACTTAAAGTTTCATCTGATTTTAGATCAGTTTCCCCTTAAAGACCAATACACTGATTATTAGTGTTTTACTTTTGACTAGTTAGCCTGTGTAAATGACATATAAGGTGACTTATAGCTCTTTAAAATACAACATGTATTATATAAATAACTTTTAGCTTTTTGCTTTGTTGTTGATCAACCTTGCTTATGTAATTAAGTTGAGTTAGTGACTTAACTTAATTTGAAATAATCTAGGCAATTTGAACTGAATAATTTTCCATTAGGGTTTTTCCTATGTTGTGTTGTTAAATGATTTTAGATATTTATTTTTGTTTACATAGTGTTTTTCCTTGTTTATTTTGTTATTTAGACTTTTTCACTGTATTCTAGGGAAAATGAAAACCATTTTGCCTGGAATACTCTACCATGTTCTACCATTGAGATTGTAGCATATTCTGTCATAAATGAAGTACAACTTTATAGCTATTCCTTGGTCATTGTTCATTACTCCATCACTTCCTAATATTCCTAGCAACTTTTCTATGTTTGCTTTTTTTCATTTAAAAGAAAATGAAAATTTTCTAAGCTTCCTATTATTTTCCCCTGGCTAGTGTTTCGTCTCTAGCTAGTTTTAGGCTAATGAATGATACTTAACCAATCCAGTGAAAGGAAATTTTTTTACCTTCCTTGCCAAGTTTAGCTAATGTTTTAAGCTAATGTTTAATTTAAACCTGTTTAAAAAAATTTGTTTTCATTCACTCAAGTATTTAGGCAGAAGTAAACTATGGATTTCAAGTATATTAGGATATAACTGGTCAATTAAAGGTGCAGTGGTAATTTATGGTCTATTGTGAATGGATGTTCTGTAGTGCTGATGAATGAATGAATGAGTTGTAACATATGCATAAGTTCAACCAAACATGGATGACAATGAGACCATAAGATAACATGGAAACAGAGAGAGTGTAAAAACCTGGGGAGGAATTGATTAATAATGAGCCTCTCCTATAGACCATCCACTCGTTCTACACAACGGCCAGAAAATGTTCTGTACAACATATGGCACTTCAGCAGCCATATGTGCCAGTTTTTACTGAAACTGGCATCGCCGTGCACCGCGGTCACTGATGGCTGCCAAAATAACAGAGGGGAGGTAGAGAGACATAGAGAAACAGAGGGAGAGAGAGAAGGAAGCAATGGATGGAATTAAAGCTGAAACGTTTACTTTTTAAAATTAAATTTCAAAGAGAGTTCATTTCGTTAAAAGTGAGGTAATCTGGGGAGCTGACAGTGATCAGAATCGACTGCACTCAGAGCGCCCCCTGCTGGTTAAAGCCCAAGACTCAGTGTCGAGGCGGGTTATGTATTAAGTGTCTGCCAACAGAGTCAACAAAGGAAGAATATAATTTTTTTCTTACCGTTGGTCTGTTGGCAAACACTGTTGGAGTGTAAGCAATTATCGGTTGATTTTCGTGATTTGTTGATACTTAATAATTTTACCCTGAGGTCCAGGTACTGTTTAAAAAAGTACAATTTTCTAGTCACTAGGATACTTTGATATCATGTAATACATTAATTCATTTTAGCCTCTAAGTAGAACCAAGAATTTTGTAGACACGTTTTTTTTGGAACCTTTTGGAACCTCTTTGGAACCTCTTTGGAACCTCCCGTAGAAGAAACATTAAGCTTTAATATATGTCTGCCTCAGTTATAGAAAACAACATAACATCGCTGTCTTCTTTAATAGTATTTACATGGGGCCAAACAGGTTGTATCTATAGCGCCTTGTACTTGACCATAAGCACATAATTAAAAAAATATGCGTGTAGTTGAGGACTTCACATGGAGCTTTGTGGAAACGCAGCTGTAGGAAAAGTTGAACTTCAGCTTTGGAAACCAACAGACCTGAAATTGTTTCATCCTGTTGACCCTGACTGGAGTGGACACACTGTTGAAGAGGACGAGCATTTAGAAGTGCTGGAGACAGAATGGATGAAGACTTTCAGGAGTTGAATCTCACATGTCAGGCTTTGTTGATAGGGTCAGGACAGAGTACCATCTCCTCACAGCTCAATAATGACTGTCCTGTTCACTCCGGTCCTGTCCTACGCTGGCCACCCGGGGCCAAAACACACTCTCTGAAAGAAGGAAGCTCTATGAGCTGTGCTGTCATTTAAATGACAAAAAATAATTGGTTTATTTTTGTCACCATCACTGTCCATTCACCAGTGTAGGTTCAAACCTGGAGGCATTTGGAGCAGGAGGGCAATGGAAAAACAGCATCTATGTCATCTATGCATCTATATACCAATGTTTTTTTCCAGCCTGTCAGTGAGTGTGTGTACTTTAACAACAGTATCTGAGTTTTACCCAGAAACTAATTGTTGTAAACCACACTTTTTTCGGCTTGGGAGCTAGTGATCTACCTACACTGAAAACTATAAATATATATTCACTACTTTGATTAAATGGCTGTAGTTGTATGGCACAGTACCGTCTCACTCAATACTTCTATGGTCCTTACTTTAGCCCTGGTGATTAGCATCTTAAAATAGAATTAAATCTAATTCTATAATCTAAATCTATCATTTTCCATGTTTTTTTTTCTTTAAATGTAATTTCTCAGGATCTACCAGCCCTCCCTTTGAAATCTACTGGTAGATCCTGATCTACCTTTTGGGAATCCCTGTTGTAAACCTTACTCTACCGTGTTCTACCATTGAGATTGTAGCATATTCTGTCATAAATGAAGTACAACTTTATAGCTATTCCTTGGTCATTGTTCATTACTCCATCACTTCCTAATATTCCTAGCAACTTTTCTATGTTTATTTTTTTTTATTTAAATCTTAGCATCTTTTAACTAACATCAACATCTCAACAACATCTCTTTTCATAATTGTAACTCTATTTTTAAACCTTGGGTAATTTGTGTCCCCGAGTTTTTGCTAACATTTAGTTGTTTTGTAGTTTTTCTTACTTTTTTAATAATTTTTACTCAGTTTTGAGCTAATTTGTTCCTGGCTAATGTTGGCTTACTATTTTGTGAAAGTGTTCAGCCATTTGTAAATTTTAACCTTCTGATACATTAAATATTCATCCATTCAATTTTCAAAATAAACTCTCTGTATTATGGGCCACCAGGGGGCAAACTTTGCTTTTTTGCCCAACATTGTCCAAATCAAGATTAACCTTTAAATAAACTTTTGGCAAAATGTTTATGCTAATATTTATGTATCTTAAAGTATTTTTTTTAATTACTCCTCAATAGAATAATGTTCAATTATGAACCACACTCGCAAGTGCACACTCACACACACACACGTGTGTGTGTTTCCCCACCCCCTGCCTGTACCATTGCTGACAAAGTTGTTGTTGAACTAACCTGACTCGCAGCTCAACGTCCAGTTGAATATCGCTGAGATTGGCCCTGTTCATAGTTTACTGGTTGCC